TGGTACTGGGCATTGAATTTAGGACCTTCACCCTGAGCTACATCTCTATCCCTTTATTATTTTTATTTTGAGACCACGTCTTACTAAATCACTAAGTTTCCCAAACTGGACTCGAATTTGTGAGTTTCCTGCCTCAGCCTCCCTGAGTGTTGGAATTATAGCCATGTGCCACCACAAACAGCTGTGCCACCACAAACAGCTGTGCCACTTTTTTAATCAAAACCATTTTTATTTGAAAGAGAACAAACACTGGGCTTGGGTTGTAGCTCAGTGGGCAAGTGTGTTTAGAACATGTGAGGCCCTGGATTTGTTGGCTGGCACCAGAACAAACAATGGTTTTTCATCCTTGAGTATTTGGCAGATATCTTCACAAATATGAAGTTAGTCCATCACCTTAAGTGAAACAACTGACAGGACTTGTTACCTATAAAAATTTCTGAGCTTTTAGAGCTGGGGATTTAGCTTAGTGATTCCGGTGCCTGCCTTGCAAGCCCAAGGACCTGAGTTCAATCCCCAGAACCAAAAAAAAAAAAAAAAAAAAAATTTGAGCTTTTGAGTAAAAATTAGAATTTTGGAAAACACATCCCTATCATAAGCATATACATATTAATACACAAAATAATTTATTGTAGTGAAAATGAATGAGCTAAAGCTACACACAATATTTCTAATAATGGTTCTTCTGATGAAGATAGTGGTAAAATTAATACTTCTAATATATGTGATTTATAGTAATTATAATGAATTGTGTCAATGCTTTGAAGATAACAGAAGCACTCATGGGAAAAGATTTATTTAAACTCCAAGCCTGGGCTGGGGATTTAGCTCAGGGGTTTCGCTGCCTGCTGCGCAAGCACAAAGACCCAAGTTCGATCCCTGGTACCAAAAAATAAAAATAAACTACGAGCCAGACCCATAGACTTTTTTTTTTGGTACCAGGGATCGAACTCGGGACCTTGGACTTGCAAAGCAGGCAACAGAACCAGTGAGCTAAATCCCCAGCCCCAAGACCAATAGACTTTGATTTAAAAGAGTAAGAAAACTTCATTGAAACAGTTTCAGATTCCATATTACAATCAACCTTGGACACTGCCATTTGTCAAGTTTGGTGTAGCAGCAAAGAAAATAATCCACATATGTGGGTATTAAATGAAAACGTTGTTAAAATCCTTCCTTTTCCAAAGTTGGGTGCTCCTGTAATTCCATCTTCTCAGGAGGCTGAGGCAAGAGGATCACAGTCTGGACCTTGCCTCAAAATTTAAAAAAAAAAAAATTAAACCAGGCATGGTGGCACACGCCTATAATCCCAGCACTCTGGGAAGCTGAGACAAGAGGATCTCAAATTCAAGCCCATCTTGGGCAACTTAGCAATTTAGCAAGACACTGTCTCAAAGTAAAAAATTTTTAGTGTTTTTTTTTTTTTGGTACCGGGGATCAAACTCAGGACCTTGCACTTTCAAGGTAGGTGCCTGAACCACTAAGCTAAATCCCTGGCCCATCAAAGTAAAAAATTTTTAAAAGGCCAGAGATCTAACTCAGTGTAAAGGCACTGGGTTTGACCCCCAGCTCCAAATTTAATTTAAAAAATAAAATAAATGGGGTGGGGACGTAGCTCAGTGTTCCCTGGGCTCAATCCCCAGTACAAAACAATACAAAAAATCTTCTGTCTTCCAATTTGTGTGAAACCAAATTTTCTTCATATACTTCAACAAAAACAAGTTATTGTAACAGACTCAATATATAAACAGATATGATAATCTAGCCATCTTTTTTTTTGCCAGATACTAAAGAGATTTGAAATTTTATATGTTTTCACTAACTTTTAACATATAGTTTTCATTAAAGGTGTTATTTAGGTTAACATGTAGTGGACTCATCATGGAATTTTTTATTTTGTTTGTGTTTTGAAGTGCAGGGGATCAAACCCAGGGCCTCACATAGTTAAGCAAGGCATTTCACCTCTGTGCTACATCCCCAGCCCAATAGGTATTTTTAAATCTCCAATATAGAAAACATTGATAAAGAAGGTTCTCTGGCATCCTCAATAATGTTTAAGAATGTCAAGACATCCTGGGACCAAAAAGTCTGAAAACTGCTGCTCTAGAGAAACTCTCCTGGGTCCCAGGAGACTTACACAAGAATTGTCACACTGTCTACCATCACTGACACTGAACATGGCCCTGCCGTCCAGCTGCAGAGCAAATAAGGGTACAGTATTGTGAGGTAGTCATCCTTCATGGTCGTATGTAGCAGTGGAGGAGAGAAGTGGTCTACAGTACACACAAAGACATGGGTGAATTGCCAACACACAATGTGCAGGAGAAAAAGCAAGTGGCAGAAGAGTTACAAGATGATTCTGCTCATGTAAAGTTCAAAAGATGACAAGTTTAACAATAAAGTATTCAGGAATACAGAAAAATGTGAGTAGAAGAAAGCCCCGCTGTACATGCAGCTGACAGTTCAAAGATGTGCAGCAACTAGCAGGTCATGTATCATTAGTGGGAACAGAAAATGGTCCAGCCATTTGGAAAAAAGTTTGGCTCTTTCCTCCCCTCCCCTCTCCCTCCCCTCTCCCCTCCCTTTCCCCTCCTCTCCTCCTCCCTCCCTTCCCTTCCCTTTTTTCATTCTTTCTTTGATACTGGGGCTTGTACCCAGGGCCTTTTGCATTGAGGTACATCCACAGTCCTTTTTATTTTATAGTTTTTATTATGAGACAGGGTTTTACTAAATCACTAAGTTGCCCAGGTTGAGCTCAAACTTGTATCCTCCTGCCTCAGTTTCCCAGAGTGCTAGGATTACAGGCATGCACCACCACACCCAATTGGGTGGCAATTTCTTATAAAGTAAACACAACCTACAGCCCAGTGATTCTAATCCTAGGTGTTTATCCAGGAGAAACAAAAATATAAATCCACAAAAAGACTTGTACAAAAATGTTAATAGCAGCCTTTTTCATTATAACCCTGAAGAGACAGCTCAGAAGTCTGTTAATAGAAGAATGAATGAACAAACAGTTGTACATTCATACAAGGGAATCCTACTCAGAAATAAAAGACATGAACTGGATGAATCTCAAAAACACTGTATTGTGTAGCTCCGTGGCACCTTGCCTGCCTGGCAAGTGCAAGATCCTGAGTTCAATTCCTGGTACTAAAAACAAAAACAAAACAAAACAAAAACACTGTGTTGAGAAGCTAGATCCAAAACACTGTATGTTTCTGTTTAAAATTGTAAAAGAAGCAAAATCAATCTGTGATGGAAAAGACATTACAAGACTCTTTTTTTATTTGATACTGGGGATCAAACTCAGGACCTTGTGCTTGCCAGGCAGGCACAGAGCCACTAGCTAGATCCCTGCCCCTGACATCAGAAGATGGACTGGCTCTGGAGGATCAGCTGAGGGGAGTAGCCTTCTCATTGGGTCCTGACAGGGACTCAGGTGGCTGGGGCACAGGCAGTGGTTGAGACCCCTACAATGAGTGAGGGTTAATTTTATGATTCCAGCTGACTGGCCCTCAGGGTGCTCAGATATATGGTTCCACATTATTATTTTATTTTAAATTTTTTTGGTACTGGGGATCGAACTCGGGACCTTGCGCTTGCGAGGGAGGCAGCGGAACCCCTGAGCTAAATCCCCAGCCTGGTTCCACATTATTCAGGGACGTGTGTGTGGGTGTTTCTGGATTTGAGTAACATTTGTATGGTGGCTGGAGCACCACAGATGGCCGCCCCAGTGTGGGGGGGCCTCACCAAGTCTGCTGGAGGCCTGAACAGAACAAAAGATAGCAGAAGAAAAAGTGTGTGCTCTCCACCTGCCTGTCTTTGAGTGGCCATTGGTCTTCTCCTGCCCTCAGAATTGGGCTCAACCTGGAACTCACACTCCTGACTCTCTTGACTCCTAGGCTGTCACTTGCAATGAAGAGTCAAGCAAACATGTCTCCATTTCAGAGATAAAGAAACTGAGGCCCAAGGAGAACATGACTTGCCTGAGGCTACAGAACAAGGATGGGCAGAAGCAGAGCTCTAAAACCTTCCTTCCTCCCACTGGACCCAGGGTTTCCTCTAATCAACTTACAGAAAGTTTGTGCAGAGGACCGGGGATTTAGATCAGTGGTTTCACTGCCTGCTGCACAAGCGCAAGGTCCAGAGTTTGATCCCCAGTACCAAAAAAAAGAGTGTGCAGAGCAATCGACAAAGTGCTTTTTACATTCTGATCTCATCTGACCCTCACAACCAGCACAGCATTTCTGAACAGCAAGCATTAAAATGTGTTTGTGTTTAAGACCAGAAATGGAGACGAGGGGCACTGTGAGGCGTGAGGCTGAGACCGCCGTGTGGACACCAGTGCCATGACACCTTCCCCTGCCCTCCAGCCCCAGAAGCTCCTGCGTCTCTGCCTGTGGTCATCTCTCCCTTAGATGCCTCTACCCAACCTCATCTTCCCCAGAGACAGGCAGAGACTTGATCCTCTGGCCTCAGGCGGGATCCATCAGAACCCTCTTCTAGGATGGCTGTATGGGCAATGCAAGAAAGAATTCCTCCTCCTGTTGAAGTGGCTACACTAAAGGGTGTGAGTACGGGGCTCGCTGTCCCCACCCTTTCTGCTTGAGAGAGACTCACTGGGTTTGCAGGGAGATGGACAGATGCAGAGGTAAAGCCTTACTGGTATCATCTGGTCTCCTGAATCAAGCCTTTCCTGAAGCTCTGACCACTTATTTGAGCCAGTGCATCCCCCTTTTGTTTAAGCCAGGTTTTTTGGTTTTTTTGAGACAAGGTCTCGCTCTGTAGTTTAGGCTGGCCTTGAACTCACTATGTACCCCAGGCTGGCCTAGATCTCGCAATCCACCTGTCTCAGCCTCCCACATACTGTATTTAAGCCAGTTTTATCTGGGCTTCTTTCACTTGCAGCAAGGTCCTGTCAAAATTCCTCAGCTGCCAAAACACTAGATGTCACCTTTGCATTCCCAACCCTCTACTCCAAACACACCGGCCCTACTCACTTGGTGATCTCCTCTAAGACAGTCTTGGGTAAGGCCAGCAACTCCACCAGCAGAGACAGGATCTCAAAGAGCAGAGTGTGGGGGTTCGGGGGAGCCATGTTCGTTACGTCATTCTGTTCTGGGGACATGGGATAGTGGCTGCCTCACTACCGTGAGGTGGCCCTGGATGACACCCCGTCAGCACTCTGGCCCTCCTCCAGCTCTGCTGCCCCAGGCTGGCCCTGGCTCACCCATGGAACAGAAGAAGGACCTGGTGTCTGTCATCATAGCCAGGAAGTCTTTGAAGTCCATGTGCCCATCTCCTGCAGAAGCCAGAGGAGGAACTGGGTGGGCAGGCGTCTTATGGATCCCGCCATGGTCACCAGCTCACTCACTAGGTCTGATTACAAAAGTGATGCATATTCAATACAGAAAATGCAGTAGACATAGGAAAACAGAAGACAGAAGCTAAAATCTCCCAGGTTATAAGCTGCTGGAAATTGTGTCCTGGAGGTGGCAGTTTGGGTTCGTGTCTCAGACCTACCACTTCTCTCCATGGCTCTGTCAACCCCAGTGAGCTCAGCTTTCTCATCTATAGAGTGAGGACAATCCACACGCCTATCTCATGGGAGATAAAATGAATGGAAGTGCTTAGAACTGGTCCATGCCCACTGAACACCTGCACCTGTTATGGCTTCTGCTCAGGAAGACATACCCACAGTGTTCCCATCTTGGCCTTCAAGGCCCTGCAGGATTCTCCTGGTACCTCCTGCAGATTCTCCTGCCCAGGGCCTTTGCACATGCTGCTTCCTTTTCCTAGAGCCTACTCCACTCCCACTTCAACTTTCGTGCTTCCCGCTGACCATCATGTCCTCAGAGACTCAGACCAGACCAGGTCAGATCTCCCAGGAAGACTCTCAGAAAACTCCCGTGTTCCAACCACACACTCTTTGTTTCATTTTTGGGTTTTTGAGACAAGGTCCCACCATGTAGTTCACACTGGCCTTGAACTCATGGTGATCCTCCTACTTCAGCCTCCAGAGTGTTGGGATCACAGGCATGCACCACCACGCCCAGCCCAACCATATGCTTTGGAATTTGATGGAATTTTTTGGAGGCAAGGACTGCATGTTTTGTTCTATGCTGTGTCCCTGGAGCTGGAGACAGGTAAGTGCTCAGTCGACGGCCTCTGAACTACTCAACAAATGCTTATGTGGTATCAGAAAGCACGCGTAGGGTGCTTAGGACTCTTATCCTCATATCACACCTGAGGCTGAAGCTCAGAGAAAAGCAGGCTGCTCTGTGGCTCACGCAGCACAGCTGGGTCACCCTTGATGGTGTGTGAGGATTCCTGTCTGTGCAGCCATGGAGGGGAGAGTCGTGATGCCCTGCGCTGCACACGATGTCCAGCCACACACCACACCACGAGGAATCCCTGTGCTGCATTCTTCTTCCTACTGGCTTCCCCTTATCTCCCTGCCTCAGTCCTGATTCATCTTTTCCAACTTGGCCTCTACATCACCTCCAGGAGGCTGACCTTCCTGACCCCTTCTTTAAGCCACTTTAAGTGCTGCCTTTACTGGTGCCTCTTAACTTCGGTCAGCCCTTGTCCAAAGGCAGTGCTTGTGAGCCCTGCGGGGCAACTGGGTAACAGCTCCTACCTTACAGCAGGCACACTGTCGGCACCTAGTAAATGGCCATGGATAAATAATGCTAGCCACTAATGCCTCCCACGCATGTTCTGTGCACCAGGCACTGTGCTGGATATTTTGCCTGAATTATCTCCTTTCATCTCAACAGAGATGGTGAGACGGGCTCTGTTATCAGCCCCATTCTACAGGTGAGAGGCCGGGGTAGACTGAATTCCCGTGACTTGTCTGAGGCCACACAGCTGATAAAGCAAGTAATCAAATCACAAAGGAACCTCAGATGAAGCACCGACCAGAGTCTGGGAGGAAGGGACCCCCAAGATCGCCTACCCCTTAGAGTCAGGAGGCTCAGTGATCTCTGGGTCCCCAGAAACTGGAACTGAACAGTATGAACTCCCAGAACCAGGACCTGCTATATCATATGTGGGATCCAGTTGTCGTGGTTTGGATCTAAAGTGTCCCCCCAGTTTTCCTGTGTCCAGAAGGTGACTGGGTCACGGGGGCACTATGCTTATCAGGGATGAGTTCAGAGCCAGGAGTGCTGCTGGGAGGTGGGGCCTGGTTGGACGTGGGTCACTGGGGGTGTGGCCTGTCTCCCTCCCTGGCTCCTCCCTTCGGTCTCTGAGCTCTCCTGCGCTCTGCCCCTCTGCCATTCCTTTCTTTTTTTTTTTTTTTTGGTACCGGGGATCGAACTCGGGTCCTTGTGCTTGCGAAGCAGGCGGCGAAACCACTGAGCTAAATCCCCGGCCCTACCTTCATAGTCTTACAATTTTACTCCCCAAGGAAACCAGTATTAACAATTATGCATATATTTGTTTTTGCATATAGACATACACT